TGATCATAAAATTAAGCATTTAAATATCATCTTATTAAGATTTATTATTGGGAGATAGAGAGTGATATTTATATGCATTTTCACTTTTATAAAGATCTTATTGATTTACTGTAAATTACAAGATATCAGAATTTCATACTTTTTGTCCATATAAATAGCTGCATCTGCACCAAATATTTAGCATATTATTTAATTAAAATATATTAAATATATTATGTATTATATAATATAAATATATTATATTAACATAAAAAACAATAAAGATTGATGGATGGATGGATGGATGCTCAGTTTGGGTCTCTGAATAAAATTGAGCTATTTTATCCTCCATATTCTCACTATGTCAAGCTATATGAGCCATAAAGCCTGATGGATCAAATATGATGCACAACAAAAACATATATGCAATCATATTTTCTTTTATATGTTGTCTAAAGTTTCAATAGAATGTTCCATTTCAACTATTTAGATCATTATTTCCTATTGCCGGCGTAATATGTGTGTTTCATGTGTTTTTTTATATTTTCTAGAACATCAGTTTAGCAACAATCTAATCGCAAACTCTGCCGGAATCAATTGTGAATCAGATCTACTTTGTGTAGCGCTAATCATCGCCTGTGTAGTGTTCCAAATCAGTCACTTCTCTCGGTTAGTAGGTGTCTATGTAGTGAAGAAGCAGCCTGAGGTTTCTAAGGATTTTCAAACTGTGTACCAAAATGAAGCCGGCTTGAGGGCTGCAAAATGATGTGATTTGGTTTAAGCCTCTTGTTAGGGAGTAAATGAAGTCAGAATAATCAAATATCATGAACAGTCACAGATGAAAGGAGTTTTACAGATGAAACCTATTAGCAAGCAATGCAGCTAGAGCGTAAGTCCTCCGCCTGACCTGAGGTTTGATGTCTCGTGCTCAGACGAGACCAATAACGCCGTTTATCAGGTAAAACATGAGCTGTGGCGTGGTTCTCCTGCTTTCATTTCATTGGAAAACAGCAGAGTCAGAGGAAATCCAGAGCAGTCAGCAGATCGCGTTATTATTTTAACATTCACAATTAAGGGAGCAGATGTGATGTTGATCATATGATCTCCATATGCGTTAATGTGCACCAAAGACTCCAGGAGCGCGTCGTGTTTCTGTTCTCCGATCAAACGCTCGCTGTGAGCAGACAGAGAGGAGGATTACTTATCCTCCAGCTCTCCAGATATTGCCCAGCTTTCTTTGTCTTCCTGTTTGAGAGTTTTTTTTTTTTATTACTGCTGAAATATTGATACGGCAAAAAAGAGGATATTTCCAAGCGCATGTTTTATTCGACTGAGGCAGGATTTGAAATGAGGAAAGAGGGTGGGAAAAAAAAAAATGCAATCCTGTAGGCCGGCTTGCGTTATTCCCATGTTTTACGGCAAATACCTAATGAAAATCCCCACGGGGGTGATAGAAGCTGCTATTTAATTAAGAGTTTATAAAATATTTAACACGTCGATGATGGAGAGGGAGATTTCGCTCTGTCCACTGCTGTTTAGAAGACTTTGCCAGGCACATTAAAATGTGAAACAGGCACAGACCGAAGCTAAAGAAACCCAAAATGATACAGTCGATGGAGCATTACAACACTGCAGCGCTGCAGATACCTCTGCATTTCAATAGCTCACATCAGCCTTTCAGCATAAAAAAAAAAAAAAAGCTGAAACCAGAATTAAAGACAATTTTTTGCTGGTTGGATTTGGATTTGCAGGGTTTATCTGCTGGAAAGTGCACAAAACCACTCTAAAACCATCTAGAAACCCCTTTAAAACCATCTAGACAGACCATCATAATAGTATTGTATTGCATTATATGTTCCCTGCAGTTTTTAAAAATGAAAGAAAAGAAAAAAAAACGCTGAAACCTTGAATTAAAGACCATTTTTTGCTGGTTGGATCTCTTAATGTAGAGGTGACTTCTTGAGATTTGTTTCTTTGTTTTGTGCCTTTTTGAGCAGCATCTGCACCAAATTGCATATTTTTTTTCTCGATTTTGGCCTCTGAATAAAATTGAGCTCCATATTGTCACTATTGAAACCAGAATTAAAGATGATTTTTGGCTGGTTGGATCTAGATTTTCAGGGTTTACCAGCTGGCAAGTGCTAGCAACAACTCTAAAACCATCTACAAAGACCATCTTGGTGGGTTAAAACATCTCTAGGCTGAGGTTTAGCATGAAAGTCAATCTTCATGCTAAACTCAATTTCTTGAGATTTGTTTCATTGTTTTGTTTGTCGGAGCCCAGAATGGCTCCAAACTTCACTTCCAGGCTGGACTTTAGAAATACATCTGCTTTTGTATATAACGAGCTTCTGGCAGGCCGTGTTTCCAGAGCACCAGGTCCCTGAAGCACTGAACTGACCGGCTTCATTACTGAACCATAGATAAATGGCAAGGATTGTGATAGTCGCCCAGTAGCGATTGCTTGGGTGAAATACATTGAAACACTCTGAAACTCCAGACAGACTTTAGACCGTATTTGAACCACAGAATTAGCAGTTATCCAGACACCAGATGATTTAAAGTGGTGTTCACAACCCATTTAACTTCTGTAATTTGATGAGTTTCAGTGTGAAATAGGATGTTTAATGGGGCAAACAAATGCAGGGCATGACTTAAATTTATGCATTTGCAAGGCCTTTAAACTTTGAAGGCTTTCTGCATATACGGTATACATATTTATTTTATATATATATATATATATATATATATATATATATATATATAT